TCAGGGACACATCTGTCTCCTACACCACTGCGCTGTCGGCATGGAAATTAACTAATCCTTTTGTGTTACTTTCACAGTTATTTAAAGGGTGCATTATTCTGATAGTAAGATGTGCTGCGTAGGTTATAAATCTATTTACCCATGATCCATCAGGGGGAGCTAGCGTCTTGTTAAGAGGAGCCGAGCTCCCCCGTAGTTTGCACCCTGCGTACAATCTCCACCATCGGATTCCCGCAACAGGAAATAACGTTACTCTTTTACTCATGGATTAGTTTTTCTGCCACCATAATGTTTCTCGGTGTTCGTGAATTTTTTTTGTGAAGATTGTAACGGGTATAATATTACCGATTATTTTTAGTAATGCGTTACAGCAAAAAACAATACATTACTGTAAATGCGTTACTTTTGTAACGCGTTACTCCCAACACCGCTCATAAACAACTGAACTGCAAACTTTTGCCTGCTGATCAGTGGTTTTATTGATCACTGAAATGGCATTGACTTGGATGGGTGTTTTTTTCAAAGGTTGGATGCAGTGCTTAATTTGTAAATTATTATGCGCTGGAAATGTGCCGCCTGCCTAAAATAATTAATAATTTAAAACGCATTGGCGTAAATCCACATTGATTTAAAGGGCGAACAGAAACCATTATTCAAAAAGTTAAAAGGGTCCATTAGACCCTGTTAGGCTGGATGAAATCTTGTAGTTTACTTGTGTAGAAGGGCAGTGCATTGACGGAGTTGGGGGGGAGGGGGTCACTATATTTTTGCAGTACCTTAGCCAACACTGCACATTTAAAATTAACATTTGTAAATGTCAGTAATCTGTCTCTGTGGCTGTTTGAGATTTAAGGAAGATTAATCTTGTTAAAACAGTTGGAGTTCCTGTTTCTAGATGACCTGCAGGTACTTCACACCCTGCTTTTGAGGAAGCAGATAGTTTAACATCGCTTTTTCATAAGAAATATGCTTTAGTTTGCTTTCTTTGTACTGCTCAGAAAAATGAAGGGAGCACAATAGTTCAAAGTTCAAACTCTTTACAGTACAATTCACTGAGAACAGTGGAAACCCAAATCACCAACTGATTGAGGGCTGGATTCAAAATCACACTGAAAATTAAAGTAAAAAGTCTCCACCGAAAACTAAAGGGGACAGTTTGCTGTCGGGGCCCCAAGGCTCTGGAACAGCTTGAGGAAATCAGGGCGGCTCCTTCTTAAAACAGACTTTTAGGAGAGCCTATTTTAGTTGATTTAGTTTTTATCTTTTAACTGTATTTTAATTTCTGATGTATTTTCTTGCTTTTATCGTGTATCTTGTTGTGTGTTTTGTGTTTTATTGTCTTTGCACTTTTTAACGTGGTTGTAAACTGCTCTATAAATAAAGGGTTCTTTTATTATTATAATTATAATTATTTTCGACCTCTCACTGAGGTTGAAGGTGGCGCCGAAGATCTGGATCGTCCCTGTCTCCAAAAAGGGACGCAGTCTCTGTGGGCCCTCTTCCTCTTTTGGTCCCTGTCTCTCCTGCATCTTTTGAAAAATATTGACAAATAATTGAGCTGTACACATTAAACTGTGGTGCTAATTAGGGTAGTCACCAATGAACCATTCTTACTTTAGTGCAGGAGTAATGACTTGAGGTAGGTGGATTTGGTATACAGTATATAAATATGACAATATAACAATGTGAGCAGTATGAACAGCACTGAAATAGTGAATAAATAATAAGTGGTAACCAGTAAACAGGTGGCTGATTAGAGACTGATTAGAGTTACTGGGTTATTGCACAAGAATTGATTCCTGACACTGTGAGTCAGAGTCAGCTGTTCATCAGAGTGATGGCTTGTGGGAAGGAACTGTCCCTGAGTCTGTTGGTTTTGGCGTACAGTGCTCTGTAGCACCTGCCAGAGGGGAGGAGCTGGAACAGGTTGTGTCCGGGGTGAGATGGATCCGCAGTGATGTTTCCTGACTCTGGAAATATCAAATATCAAAGTCCTGAATGGAGGATATATAATAATAATCTATCTAATATAATATAATATGTATATTCCTCTGTGCTGCTGTGCCAAACTGAATTTCCCCTACAGGGGGTTAATAAAGGAACATCTTATCTTAAAGTTTTAATCAACCTTTAGTATGCTTGCTCTGTAAAACCAATGAAAAGGTTTATTTCAGTTTTAGTTTGACCATGTAACTGACCCCTTACTATGATGTCATCTGAAAACTCCCCTCAGCTCCACTGTATAAAAGCAGATGCAATACTGGAGGCTCTCCACTTGTTTTTCCTTTTTCTTTCTTTTATTGGCATGAATGTTTCAGTTAAACAATGTTGCCAAAGCGGTTTGCAGCAAAATCACAACAAGAATGAATGCAATCAGGACCATTCAGTTTAGCAAAATTACAACCACAGAAATGACGAGATAGAACGTAAACTACAAACAGGAAAAAAACAGGAAGTAACCTGCCATGCAGCGAACACTGAGTGCAACAGTTGGCTGAGCAACTCGCTGTCCCTCAGGTTGGGACACTGAGACACATACTTGGCGGCGAGGTTTTCCTACACTGTAAACCCGAATAAGTTCACAGAACTCAAAAATTATTTTGTGACAGATTACACAAAAATATTTAAGTGATGTTTTTAAAAGTTTTAAGTTTACTTAAATTAAAAATTATATTTACTGTTGCCTTAAATTATCTCAATGTTATCTTATAAATATTGATATTCCTCAACTTAAAATTAGTGAGTAATTCACTAAAAAATTTCAATAATCTTCAAATCATAAAATGTTGGAAATACACTCAAAACTTTCACTTTTCTTAAATTCATAAAATGTTGGAAATACACTCAAAACTTTCACTTTTCTTAAATTCATAAAATGTGGGAAATAGACTCAAAAAATTTCATATTCTTAAACTCTCCTATAATTTTCTACTCAAAGTTGGATATGCACTCAATTTATTCTAAACTAAAATACTGATGTCGGCCAACTACACAATTATAATCAGCTAATAATGTCAGAAAAGATGAAAGTGACACCACAGTGAAAATTTAGCAACTTTTTTTATTCAACAATGTGCTTTTTAAAAAGGCAGGAGAATCAAAGGAGATCAGTCACAAAGTGCTTGTCATGAATTAAAATAAAAGGAAATAAAAAGTGTTTTAAAGTACATTAAGTGTTAATAGTTCTATATTCTGATAGTGGTCATTGCTACAGAGGGTAGATTCAGCATTTTGGGTCTCCATCTCACATTTTTTCAGTAAACATTATGATAAAAACTCACAAGGGATTCATGATAAAATGATATAAGATTCTAAGTATTATCCATCCTCAACAGCAATAAACTATTAGAATGTGGAGCCATTTAAAGGAACACGCTGACTTTTTGTGACTTTAGCTTATTCACCATATCACCCAGAGTTAGAACAATAAGAATAATAGGATTATTCTTATTGTTATCCTCTTTGCAATCTGGTATTAATTGATTGAATTCGTCAAAATATTGGTCTCTGATGCTTCTATATTTATCCCATGTAAGGAGCAAATGCAACTTTGTCTCCACCTCACCTGTCGTAGAGCGCACACATCCTCTATAGGACCATGTTTGAGATTTTAAAATTAAGTGGTGTTTTGTTTTTTTAATAATTCCTCAACACCGCGAAAAACAACATCAGAAATAAAAAAACTCTACTAATTGTTTCCTTGAACTGGAATTCGATGGTTGAGATTGTAGCCATGGTGCAAACTACAGGGGAGCTCAGCTTTTCTTAAGAAGATGGTAGCTCCCCAGAAAACAATAGGTCTATTGACTGCAACAGCCTATTAGCACTCTTGGCATAAATAGGAACCACTCTTTGGTTCCTCAGATGCTAACCGGAAGCACAGACAGTTTTTGACCACACACGCACACATGCATGCACACACACACAATACCACTACACAGTCATACATATACAACGATTGTCTTGAAAAACTATGGAAATGAATGGAAATAATAATAATGTTTAAGACCCACCAGATCTGTGGACATAACTGTGATCATCACACCCAAAGCACCCACCTATCCAAGCGCGTCTTAATATATGAAAAATGCACCCATTAGACAGCAGTGAAAGCAGGGTGCGAACTATGGGGGAGCCAGGGGGAGCTTTGCTCCTCTTAATAAGACACAAACTCCCCTGAAAACATCATTTTTGAAACTTTGGTAGGTCTCTGAAATATTGACAATAGTTAACAGTACTTTTATATGAGTACAGGTTTTGACTACTCAACCTCCCTCTGCCTGTAGGCCGTCTCGTAGTAGTTAATGAGTCCGCCTACTACTGTGGTGTCATCCAGACTTTACTATTGAAAGTTTGAGTGGTAATATAGAAGGGAGATGTGGATCCTTAAGACTCTGTTCCAGGCAGATGCTGTTAAGCAGATGTGCTCACTCCCTGCTGTCATACATCATAATGTAGGTGATGTAATTTTATCATTTCCATTACACTTCTACAGGTATTTCATTTCTACTACTTTCTACTTCAATTGCACCACATCTCAATGGGAAATTTAGTTTTTTTAATGCTGCACTGGCAGCTTTAGTTACTAGTTACTTTACCTTATACAGCTTACTCATCTGCAACTGTTCTTTTTAAACTGGATTGAAAAAAACATTTAGATTTACTCTTTGCACATTGCTTAACCAAGAAAAACATTGAAAATACTATGGCATTAATCCCTCATAAATTAATAATGACGTTATTTTTCACAGAAATACTTGGTTGTCATTTAAATTATTTTCATCAAATGGAATCGTTTCTGAATCGAATAATGAACTTCACATCATAAATCACATCGAAGTGTGAGATTAACACGTCATTATATTCCTAATATGTTTAGAATCTTACTCTCTTGCCAATGCAAAGCTCCAAACATAATGTAAATGGTGTGTATATTGACATTCTTTATTTTATTTTTTACATTTCTGCTTTGTTATGACACTTACAGCTGGACAGAGACAGGAAAGAGAGAGAGAGGTTGGCAGACAAAGGGACTCGGGTTTCAATCAAACTCACCACTGCAGAAAGGACTCAGCCTTTACACATGGTATGCATTGTAACAGGTGGGCAAATACTGTATTGTTTTGTTGGCTATGCTCCATTTTACAAAGAACCAAAGAAGCAGGAGTTCCTGCTTTGAGTTAGTTTGTATTTCATAAATATGTCTTTTTTGTTTGTTTCATCAAAACACAGGTTCACAAAAAATCACCACTTAACTGCTGAATAAATCTATAAAAATGGGGAACGTACCATCAGAATGTAACATGGGCGACCGCCTGAGATGCTGCAAGTGTTATAAAGTCCTGCCTCCTTGCACATCCTTTGATAATCTCTCCAAAAGTACTGTTCATGGGCGGTACGTCTATGTGTTCAATGGAGGTGAATACTACAGACCAGTTGGCGCCGATAATATGTACGAGTGTGAATACTGCTTTAATAAACCAATCAGGGATCAAGAGCAGATGAGGAGAGAGGAGGAGAAGAAGAGAGGAGGAGAGGAGAGAGAGGAGGAGAGGAGAAGAGAGGAGGAGAGGAGAAGAGAAGAAGAAAGGAGAAGAGAGGAGGAGAGACAAAAACTGGATCAAAGACTACAAGAATCGCAGCAACAAGCCAAAGAGCAGCATGAGAAACAACAGAGCAGCCACATTTCAGAAGAATATGAGTCCAAGCGAGATGTTCAGATGTGGCATCTGGATGAGTTTGAGGCTAAGTATGAATCAGGCAGGGATGAGCTTCTAGAAATCCTCTCTAAGAAATGCAGTTCCCCTGTTCCAGATCTGAGTCTCACTCAGCTGACAGCAGACCAGCAGCGGGAGATCCTGTCAGTCCTGGACAAACTTCTGTTTGATGAATGGATCAGTGCTCCCCCGTCCCTCAGCACTCTGCAGCACACTCAGGTGTTCATCACAGAGCTGTGTGCCCTGTCTCTGGAGATCCCCGAGGGAGTTCCCCTACAAAGCATCTCCAATCAGGTGCAGTCCCTGGTGGACTCCATCAGCCAATCAGCACGCAATGCTTTTGAGAGTCTCCTGCTGACTCAAGCCCTGTACCTGAACCTGATGCACTTTTTCACTGACTGTAGCAGCTCTGATACTGACGCAGTCCTCATAGCCAAACAGTGGGCTGGAGATAAGCTTTCCACTGAGAACCTCTGTCTTATAGAATTCCTGAGCACCCTCGCATCATCACTGCAGAATGTAGTGGGAAGAGCCTCTGTGTTCATTTTAAAGATAGAAATCCAGTGCTTGAAGCTTCTCTTATCCACACTCACACATCTAACCGGCAAAGAAACCCACTCAGAATCCACTGAGATGCTCCTCAGACTTGTGCAAAGAAACCAATGGACCCCAACGGAGACAGTGACTCTGCTCAAAGCACTGTCACAGAAATATGCAGAGGATGTTTCAATAACTGAAGTCCTTAAGCTGGTGCAAGCTTATGACATATCACCAGAGTGGACGGATGAGTCCGGACGCACTCTCGTCCAGGCTCTGGACTTTGCTGGCCCTGAGAGATTCCATCAGGATTTCCTAAATACTCTCAGAAGGAACGATGAGAGCAGTCTACCTGCAGCTCTAGCAGAAGTGAAGATGTTATGGAATTTAGATGATTCTGTGGTTGATATGATAAAAAACATTACCACTGGTGTCCTGCAGTACGCAGAAAATGCACCTAAAGATGCACCATTTGTGAAAGATTCCTTCACACGTGATCCCTTGAATGCAGACGACCTACAGAAGTCTCTGTCTCAGCTCTGCAAAGCAGTTTTTGACACCAAAGGCTGGTGGCCCACAGTGAGGCAGATGCTGCGGTGGTGTGCATTGGTGCTGACTCAGAAGAGTGGAGAGCTACAACTGGTTGGTGTGGAAGAAGACCCATGTGTCACAGCCATGTTTGCAGCCACACAAGTCTGCATGGGAAACAAACTGGACATTGTGCTGAGCGCTGATGTTCCCTCAGAGGAGCGAACTCAGGAGTGGTCTGACTTCTACAAGCACCTGGGAATCTCTCTCAACACAAACATGAAGAAAACAAATGCATCTTACAGGGAGGTCTATGAAGCAGACATTGTGTACGGTACCATCAGTGACTTCATCTCTGATTACTTTCAGTACGGCATCGAGGGGATGGGAACAGGGAACCCTCAGCTTAGACGTGGATTTATCATTGAACAACAAAGTCTCAGTTCTTCCATAATCTGGAACTTTCCAGGTTCACGGACAATGATTCCCTGGTGTTTGCTGCAGAGGCCTGCAAAGCCTCATGGGTAGATTTAAGAGTGAGGAATTGAACTAAGACACAAGTTTCTTAAGGCTCTTTTTCAGGTGCTCCACACCAACCTAAAAATGACACAAACACTGACAATAAAATCGTCACCATCTCACAGAAAGTTACTGGAAAGGAACTTCCTTCTAATGAGGTCTTTGTTCTGACCTTTCTTGAGAATCTCCTGAGAGTGGTTACTAGAGAAACAGAAGCTGAGAAAAACAGGACATCTCCTGCAGGCAAATGGTGTTTGGAGATTTTATTTGACTGTGCAGAGCAGTTCCAAGACTCAACAGCACAACTCAAGGAACTCTTCCAGATGGTTTCAAATCTTGGACTTTGGTCCCCCGTAGAGGCCTTAAACCTCCTTGGAACATTAACTGACCACCATCATGATAAGACTGTATTTCCATCATGAAGATTTTACACTTGATGGCAACGTATCAGGTGTCTTCCACGTGGACAGACAAGGACAACCAATCTCTCCTTAAACTCTTTGAGTCAACTAGAACTGAGAATCTGATCCAGCATTTAGAAAAGAGCCTGAGAGATGAGAAAACAAAAAGCCTTGACACTCTGTTTGATGAAATACGGAAGATGAAAGACATGATGAACAAACACTGAGTAAATCATACAGTGTAGTAACTCATGTAACAAACCTGATCGAAACCGGTGAAATTAAAAACCACACAGATGTACGGCGAGCTAGGAATCTGAGTCACAGCACGGACACAGAAGACCTTCAGGAGATCCTGGCAGTCTTATGCAATGCTGTAAACCTGTGCCAGGCTGAAGGGAAGTGGTGGCCCAGAACCACCCAGATGATCAGCTGGTGCCTCTTGGCCTTGTCTGACACTGGGATTCTCCTGGAGATGGGCACTGGAGAAGGGAAGTCTTGTGTCATAGCAATGTTTGCAGTGCTGCGTGCGCTTAGGGGTGAAAAAGTAGATGTGGTGTCCAGCTCTTCTGTGTTATGTCAAAGAGATGCAGAAGAATGGACCAACTTCTACAAGTACTTTGGCTTGACAGCTGACACAAACACAAATAAAACCCAAGATAAAGATCGCAAAGAATGCTACCAGAAGGACGTGGTCTATGGCACTATCGAAGCCTTCGCTGCAGATCACCTTCGCCAGATATTTGAGATGAAGGATGTGAGGCCTGATCGCAGCTATCAGTGCATCATAATCGACGAAGTGGACTCCCTGCTGCTGGATCAGGGAGTGCAGCTGACCTACCTGTCCAGCCCCATGGTCTGCATGCAGCACCTGAACATCATCCTGGCCATGATCTGGGGCCACGTCAGCCAGTACGGCTTCCTGTCTACAGGAGACCAGACATTTGTCCGGGGTCCTCCTGCTTCATTCTTCAAGGCCATCTTTGACTCAATAGACACAGAAGAAACTGACATTAATGATCCAATGGACATTTTACGTATCGCTGAAGAAACCAACACTGTGCCAAGTGGATTTACAGATGATACCTACAAAAGTGAAAAGGATGAACTTCTGATCAAACTGAAAACTGTGAGTCAGGATGCTGTGGTAGAGTTTTTCAAAGAAATTGAGGACTATGTCCCCTATGGTTTCACTGTTTACACTTTAGACGACAAGGGATTGCTCCGTCTTAGAAAACGCAGCCCGTACAACAACAAGGACATTCCAGAGCTTAAATTTCTTGTCTTGGAGGAAGGCTTGTGTTGTACTCTCTATGATTCAGAAGAAATTCTCATCAAGCCCATTGCAGAATTAATCTCAGAGAAGATTCAGTACACCCCATATACAAACAATGAAGACAAAATCAGCATTCCTGGATTCTTGAAGAATCTGGTGGAGAAGAAAGTGTCAATGTGGGTTCAGAATGCCTTTCTGGCAATGCAGCTGAAGCAAGGACGGGAATATGTTGTAGAAAACGACAACGTCTGTCCAGTGGATTTCAGGTCAACTGGTATAATAGAACTGAATAAGAAGTGGGGGGATGGTCTGCAGCAGTTTGTTGAGATTAAACACCAAATCAAACTGAGCACAATTTCAACAGTGACAAACTACGTGTCTAACATCTCCTTTTTTGAAAAGTACCATGGGAAAATATATGGAACAACAGGGACACTTGGGAGCAAAGCAGACATTCTGTTTTGCAGGAGCTATATCCAAATCTGTCTGCCTGCAAAATGCCAACATTCGACCGGAAGAAGTTATTTGAGGTCAAAGGTACTCTGAAGACCTCAGCTGAAGAGTGGAAATCTGAAATAAAACGTGTGGTTATGGCTCAGATTTCCCCAAATTCATACAGAGATGGAAGAGCAGCCCTGGTGATCTGTGAAACTATCAACAAAGCCAAAGAGATCTACGAAGAGCTGAAAAGCAGCATCCCAGGTGAGATCATTCTCTACTGCCGCAGCGACAAAGACAGTTTGAGCAAAATAGAAAGGAACTGCTACCTGGTGATGTCATTGTTGCCACAAACCTAGCCGGGCGTGGCACAGACATAAAAGTGTCCAAACAGGTGAACAACAATGGAGGACTATTTGTGATCCTCTCCTTCCTCTCTGAGAACACAAGAGTGGAACTCCAGGCTTTTGGTCGAACTGCTCGCAAAGGTAAACCTGGATCTGCTCAGATAATCGCGTCCACTGAACACCAGTCTTTCAGGACGGTGTCTTCTCTGGAGGAAGCTAAGAGCACAAGAGATAGACTTGCAGCAGAAAAGATAAATCACATGATGAACGATGTCACTGAGTTGAAACTGCGAGAGGACCTGTTTTCAGAGTACTGCAAAACTCTTGAAGATGTTTATAAGAAGACAGATGGAGAAGAGGAAAGAGCTGTTGTTGCCATCATGAATGAGTTCTGGGGGATATGGTTGCAAACAAAATCAGAGGAAATTGACCAGCTGAAGAGAAATGAATTGCAAACGAGTTTGAAAGCTGATTTGTCATTGGCACAAAGTCAGTCTCAAAGTCAGACTTCACCGTGTTCTAGCATTTATCACTACATCACGTTTGGAAATGTCGCGCTGAGTGAAAAACAATGGGACGTCAGCGCCAGGCTATTTGAAAAGCCATGAATCAAGATGAAAGCTGGGCAGCCATAGCTTTTTACAGTCATGCATACTGCACTATAAAGCAGCAGAAAGCAGATTACCTGACTAAGGCCAGAGATGATCTAAAGAAGGCTCAGGAGTCTCTGAAGTATCTCAGTGAACAATCCGTGGTCTGTCTGCAGTTTGTAAAAATGTCCTCTGCACACTCAGCCAACAGTAACCAAACCAGCCTTGAAAAACAGTTAACAACCAAGTGCAGCATGTTGAGTTACTTTGATAAAAACATTACTGAGGCCATCAGAAGCTGGATGAGATCAAAGAAAGAGGGAGGGATGCAATAGTCAAAAAATCCCCAATGTTCTCCCTGGTGTCGACTGCTGATGAAGAGCTCCAAGTGGAAGCCTACAACCTCTACAGTCAAGGTCTAAATATGTATTTTCTGTGGAAGAGAGCCTCGTTTCTCATGGGAAGGTCTGCTGGTGTTCTGTCTTGGAATTTTACAGATTATTGGAGGAGCACTGCTCACTGCATTTACATTTGGGACATTAGCTCAAGTCGGCATGGGACTCATCACTGAAGGAATATCAGACTGCATCACTGGCATAGAGGCCATGGTGACTGGAGAATTCAGCTGGACATCATGGGCTATAGATAAAGCCATTTCTATAGGTGTATCTCTCATTGGGTTTGGAGTTGGAAAGCTGATTGCAAAGGGCTTCAAAGCTTCTAAAATGTTAATAAAGGCCTTTGGGAAACAGCTGAAGGCGATGCCAAAGTTTCTCTCCAGACAGGCTAAAGATGGTTTAAGTGTTGTCACAAAGACAAATATGAAGAATGCAGTAAAAGTCACTGCTAAAAAAATGGTAGAGGAAATCATTACCTATGGACTTGGTAAGGCGGAAGAGCAAATACTGAAAGAAATACTGAACAGCATCAAAAATGACGTGAAAAAGGGAATTGTTGAAGATGTGAAATCCAATATGGAAAAAGAGCCCTGGCTTCATTAGTAGACTCCATCGTCCTCTCACACCTTGAGGATAAAAACAGCTTCATGATCTCCTGCAGGACAAGAACAGAAAGAGTGAGCTGCTGGCCATTTTCAAAGAGTTGACAAACTGCCGCACAGCCGTTCTATGCAGACCTCAGCTGGCAGAACAAGCTCAATTCATCCTTCTCCAAGTGATTAACAAAGCTAAAGCAGAGGCCAAAGGAAAGCACGTGGAATTCTGACGGCCATCCAAGCTGTCCACATGGGAGTACTGGCAGGAGATGCTATTAGTACAGTGCACAGCCTCTCCAGCAAGTTTTTCTCAAACCTCCATGAACAGCTGAATATATTTAAAAAAGAAAAAGGTTCGTCAGAGAAAGTGAAGGTAAATGAGCTGTCTGCTTCAGATGCTGAGATGCTGAAAGAATTCAAGCAGGACTTGGCCGACACCATCAGTGCTTTATTGGCTGATGCTTTGGTAGAAGTGTTCCACCAGAAGTTCTCCAGTCACATTGTTTCTCATGTTCAAGGCCAAGTAAATGGCGTCATTGGCCGTTATGTAAGAACTGGCTTAAAGAGTGACAGAACAGAGGAAAAACTCAAAGCTGGACAGAACAACAGATACATCTCATACATGCCAGGAGACCCGAATGCTAAACATAAATCTGCAGGAGAGGCAGGTAAACGCTCAGAGTCACATGCTGAAAAGATCAGGAACCCTGTGACTGCAGGCACCATTCTCGATATCAGAGTCCTGTCAGAAGCCACTGGGACTAAGGTTGTTATTCTAACAGAGGACAGCCATGGCAGACTTACCAAGATGCAGGAGCTGAACCCAGGAGCTAAAGCCACCAGTCAAACTGTGACACTGATCTACAGACCAAAGAGTGCCCAACACCCAGACGGCCATTATGACGTGCGCATCAATAACCAGACAGTAAACATAGACAGCGAGAGCAAGAGCTGCCTGTTTCACGCTTTGGCACGAGGCATGAAACCGGAGGCCAGTGAAGAAGAGATCGCTTTAGAAGCAGACCGCCTCCGATCTGTGGAGGCCGACACTCTCCTCAGACATCCAGGCCAATGGGAGCCTTTCATCAAGCGCAAAGAGTGGACTGAAGCAATCAGAGGAGGGGACTGGTACATGGCAGAGGGAGCTGCACCAGCAAAGAAAAAAATCAAACTCATGAAAGAAACTGAGGAAGCTCTTGAGCAAGAAACTGGGAAGTGAAACTGTACGAAGAGTGGCAGCAGGATTCAAAGGACAGAAAAGGAATTGGAGAGTTCATCAATGGAGATCACCAACCACCAGTAAACAGTATACTGAAAGCAAATGAATTGAACCAGAATAGTAAATTAGCTACAGCTATGCTTGAGGTGGCAACAGCCTCTTCTCCTCTGGATAAAAAGCTTATAGAGGACGTATACAACACTCATGGGCTTGGGCTTCCAATTGTTTATGTGCCAGAAGAGGTGCATCGTGAGTTCCCCAGTACAAAATCTCAAAGATTCAGGGACTTACTGGCTGAAACCATAAGCAAGGATGATGTTGCGGCCACCTTCAAACTGACCATCCTTGGTGCAATGCCCAGAAGTATGCTAGACAGCTCCAAGAAGTACAACAATTTTGACCAAAAGAAAATGAGTCCCACCAGGCTGAAGGTTTTCCAGGACAGTTTTCCAGAACATTCTAAAGTTAGTGGATAAATGGTTCAACCTCCTGGGACACAAAACAGATCTCATGAAACCAGAGATTAAAAAAGAAATGGAGGACTGGATCAATGCTAAAAATATGAAGATCAAAATGATCCCTTCAGGAACCAAGTCATCAGCACCCTTCAAAGGTAAGATCATTTCTAAAATGTCAGACATTGCATTTATAGGTTGTGTGTATTTTCTAAAGAGTAGTGTACGGGAAGCAAATTCAGCATAAAACCTGTCTGGTATTGGAATAGGAAATAAAGGGGTGGGAGGTCCATTGTGAAGGCTGTGCCTGTCGGCTATGACAGCAGGCCCAACTTGATGAGGCAACAACTGGCTCAGCCTCTGGAATAATCAGAACACGATCGACCTCCCAGCTCCCTACTGAGTGAGACCACTCCTAAACTGTAAACTTTGCATTATGGTGAGCAGTTGATCAAAGTGAATTTGTGTTTTCTTTACAGTGTATCGAAACCTGGCAATGTGACTGATTGAACTGAAGAAGTAAAATGAAAACTACAGAGATCTTCCAGCTCCAGGTTCATCATCAAGAGACCTCTCTGAAGATGTATCATGAGAATCACTTTTCCTTTGGTTTAATTCAAAATAACCTTTTACTATCCAGGGGGCTCATTACAGAAACAATCCTAACTGCTTGTCCTGTCTCATCTCAAAAGTGAAAGAAAGGAAACTTAAAGATTATTCTACTTTACCTTTGAATTCCATAATGGAAATCAAACATAGACTGTGCCATTGGACAGACTTTTCACAAACAACATAACTGTCAATGTGCCTATTTTACACCCCAACAGTTCTGCCTTTGGCCATATGATTCTCTGGTAGTGAGTTCTAAATATCTCCACTGAAATGTTCTACGTTCTGTCCATTTGTCCTGGTGTACCTTGAAATCTAGGAGCAATGGTACGTGGTTCGGATAGAAACATACATTTAAATAGAAATTAGACAAAGTCCATGTTTAAACTATCTATTGCTGTAACTAATGATAATTTGTCACTAGAACGTTGTCAGTGGAGAACATCACCCGTACTAATTACTGTAAAAGGTCATAATAATCTTCCTACCATATATTTAGGGTTCCCTTTTTCCAAAGATGCAGTTGTTGAGCAGCCACAGCAGGCTAATATAATTTTTAAATTTAAATCAGGTCTGTGCTGTTTTATAGTGAGGACTCACAATGTTTGATTTTAGCTTCTTGGATGCTTCAGTGAAGTCTGAATCCTGACTATAGGTAAAACAATCTAAAGTTAGAAAACCTCAGTCTGTAATGGGAAAAGATTTAGGATGTGTCTTTAATGAGGACCCCTGGTTTGTTTGTTTTTACAGTACTAATCTTTTTTCACTGTTTTAAAGAACATCAAAAAGAAGAAAAGTTTAAATATCAATGTTGGACTATATTTATTCCTGATATTGTATTGTTATTGAAATCTTTCCATCACTTCAGCAGGCATAACGTTTCCATATGTGCTTTGATCATCAATTTGAAGCCATACATATTTCCTCATGTGTGCTAGACTGTTTGATTAATTTGATTGTTTTTTAATAACAATATCTTCTTCATGTACAGGACTTTTATCCTCATGGTTCAACATCCATTTAATGGGAAAAACAGACATAGCTTTTAAATCGATGCTCTCATCAATTAATGGAGCAAGCAAGCGACTAGCTAACTTTTGACTTTCAATTAAAGTAGGGGGCTGCAGAGAAACAGAAACTGACTG